TCTGTTCCTTGACCGAACCAAAGATCATAGGAGTCTGCTCCAAAATACCATGGGTAATCTCCGAAGAGATCAACTTCCGCATCTGCTTGCTAATCGGATGAGTACCTGCACCTGAGCCGGAACCAGAACCAGAACCTACTTCCAGACTGCTCATCACCAAATTGAAACACAACATGCAAATGATCAGAATACGCCCAAGAATCTTCATTCCACAAGCTTCCTAGATTCTCAAAAACTCTCCCTGATTCGAGTATGGATCCTGTGTTTTTAGTAGTACGGGACCAATACTACCTTCCACACCTATCCATACTTTCCTCAAGAATCATCCCAAATTCTCTAAGTCGCCTTCTCAAATTGATGCACTAAATGCTCACTTAATAACACAACCAAAACCACCAGAGCATATCCTAGGCTCTCCAAGGTTCTCGGCCTCATCCTGCCCTCAGTAGTTGAAAGGATCCCACCAATGTCAACTAACTACCTCATAAATACAGTTACATGCAACAGATATCAGATAATCCTTCGAGTAAAAGACTCAACCCTAGAACGGTTGGACTCAGACAAGAGTTTCGTAATAGGGTCGGATCCATCACTCTGAGATTATTTAGCCTGCGCCACATGTGACTTCGCATATTCACTTAGTAGTTGATTCACATCGCTAAGAGTCCCACAAGCACAAAGCAAGCAGCATTCAGACAACATAAATCTAACCAGCATACACTAATCAAACCATTCTATCCACTTATCCGATACCAAACTACCATGCAATTCTAAAAGCGCATACAATCAGGCATATGAAAGCATCTCTCCTTTTATAAAATCTTGAGCAGATCCTTCGCCCTAATCTAGCATGCGATTCACATAATCAGATCATGTATCATAATAAACAAGTATTGGTATTCTGGGAACCACTTACTTGAGCTCGGCCGATTGCACGGATCACACCCTGTTCTTTGATTAGAAACCCCCTTTTGTTAATAAAACATTTATTTTAAGAAAGTTTTCACCACACCCTCAGTTTGAGTCCAGGAATAACCTAGAGTATGCCCGAATCCCTCAAACCAAGGTTGTAATACCAATTTGTCACATCCCAAAATATCAAGGTAAAAATTTAGTTTTTAAAACAACTGAAACACCCATTTATCGTTACTAAAACATTTAAAGCTATTTCATATTAAATCAGCTATCAGAGTACAATCCCAAAATCTCAAGGTTGCGGAAAACATAGGTGTATGCGCTGCAATCAAGTCGGACCCTTCCCTTTTGAACCGAAAGTACCTGAAACCATAAAAAACAACGGTAAGCACAAAGTTTAGTGAGTTTTCCCCAAAATACCACATACCAAGCATAATATACAAGTCATACATCTCATACATATTAAACATGCGATAGGAGGTGCTATGTGCCAACCATGGTCTTGTCATTATGCCCGAGCCGTATCATGCTCTTTCCTTGCCAAGTCGGGGGCAAAACCTTGGGTCTTATAGATAAGTGACAAGAGCCACCTCCTGGTCTTCCATGGCAAGCATCATAAATACAACTAGCATATAATCTACAACTATCTACTTAACTGCCAGGTTCCGAACCCTAGTCTTTCATACAGGTTTGCCAGGAGCCAACTCTAGGTCTTTCATACATATGCCAAGGGCCATCCTCTAGTCTTCCTATAACATAAATCAAAGGGGTTGGCCTTGGTTCCTTCAACCCATCGAATAGTGAGGAGACTCACCTCGCACTACAGAATCACACTAATAACCCTTAACAATTGGTTTGTTAATCCCTCGATCTATCAATAACAAATAACACTCAATTAACAATTGGAATCGAAACCACATCCTTCAATCCATACTTAGGGTAAAATACTAATTTACCCCTTATCTAGCTTGGTCCAAGACTAAGGCCCAAACCTACAATCCGAAACGCCCAAACATGGCCCAAAATATCCCATGGTCAACCCTGATCAAACTTTTGGTCAAAGACAAAGTCAAAATTCCATGTTGACCAAACACGCCGTGTTTCTCGTTGGACATGCTATGTTCCACCATCATCTAGATAGTCAGGAAAACCGCAACCAACATGTCGTGTTGACTTGCAAACACGCCGTGTTTTCCCGAGTTTCAACAACTTAATACATTAAGTTGTTTCCTTTGATACCAAGAGCTCCAAAGCTCAGATCTAGATCATAATGTGGTCCAGAAAGATAAAGTTTCCAACTTCATCCATTTGGACTACCCAAAAAGGTTCAAAACTCAATCCATAAGGCTTAATAGTGCAAGGGCTTGACCAATAAGCACTAAATCCATAAAGACATAGCCCCAAAACATAGATTTGACTTCCTTGAGCTGGAAACCCACGTAAAGTTGCCAAATTTATGTTCTCTCATGTCTAAATGAAGCTCTTAAGTTTAAAAAGGACTTAATAAGTGACTTAATGCATGTATGTAACCAAGTATCTCATAAATCTTGCACCTTTATGCTCAACGAGCCCAATTCAAACTCAGATCTGGAATAACAAGCCCTTAAACGAATTCACTCTCTCGTTAACCTAAAAAAGGACCCAAAAGCACAACAAAGAACAATATGAAGAGATCTAAACATCTATAAGTCAAGGTTCAAACTCGATACCTTAGAAAGCTTGCACAAAAGAAGATGATTCTGGATTCAAAACCTTTCCACTATGCAAGACAACTTCAAGATCCCCTCTTCCTTCACGAAGACAAAAAATGATCACCAATAACTTCTTACAAGATCAAGAACACCACCAAGGGACTTAAAGATCGATTTTAGGGTTTTAGTGGCAATAGCGGATGGTAAGTATCCCAACCATGAGTACTTAAGGACTTTATATAGGGTGCAACACTAAAAAAACTGGGGTTTCTCCACCAGCCGTCAACATGTCGCGTAATGGCATAAACACGCAATGATGGCCTTAATGAAATCCACGTATCTTCAAGTCTAGACATGGCATATCCAACCCTCAAAAGGGGATTTATTCCCAATAATTATTCCTTAAGATTTTGGGTGTTAGAATTCACCTCCAACTTAGGTTGGTTTTCCGGGTTTTGTATTCTAGAATGAATTCAAGGTGAAGAGAAGGAACACAACGACATCTATGATAAGTCGTCCTATACATCCTCCGATTTGTGGAGACTAATAGGTAAAGGCTTGAGTTGTGAATCACTATGTCTCTTGATTCCGAATCTTAATCATAGAACCATTGATTCACCTTCATCCTCCATAATCCTTTAAAACCATGTAAAAAAATATTGACTCTATGGGGGTAAAGGCTTGAGTTAGAAAATAAATTCAATCATGGGGCTGTTATGGTAAAGGGGTAAGCAACATACTCCTTCACTTCTTCAATAAGGATGTTTTTAAACCATAAATATAAAGTGTAAGCCCTTAAATTACCAAAAAAAACATTAAGGACGTTTTAAAACAAATGTGATAAGTTTGTAGGACTAAAATGACATTAACCCTTTTAACAGTTATTGTTTATGTTTTCAAATTTAATTGTAAGCAATCATGAAGAAAATCAAAATAAACACAAAAAACATGAAAAAATAAATGAAACTTTTGCCACAATCATATGTATCTTTCTCATGAGTCAACATGCAGAAAATATGGTTATTTCTAGGGACAAAACAACCATATGGATTCCACTTGATTCGTCATCAATTCTTGATGATGCGTTGGGACCCATTTGAAGAGTGTTTAAATCAAGTTTAGAATACAAAATCAATCACTGAATGTTATAAGAACACGGTATGTAAATAATATCTGATTGGCTTGTTAATTGTCTGTAAGATTAAAACAGTTATAAAGAGAGAATACAAGAACAAAATGTGCAAAGCTACTCTCTACCCTATGCTTACTCCATTTATAGAGTGATGTAGACACACACAAAATATGCAAGGACTAGACATTGGAATTCGACATTAACAAGTGCCTTACAAAATACATACACTTCGAAGTACATGACTACGCATCTAACCAAACTGAAACTAATTTTGACTTCTCACTATACACTTCACACCCTACACTCTCCCCCTTACACAGAAAGACGAAATCATGTCATTAGCTTCATAGTCTGAGAAGTACTTAACGAATCTCCATATACCAAAGTATTGTCTTTTGAATTTCAGACTTGTCAACAGCTTCATTCCTTTTGCATTTATTAATTCGAACAAGAAATCTTGTATATTGGTAATTCGTATACCTCTCCACATCGACAACTTGAAACAAAAACTTCGTCATCCTCTTGTTGTTTTTGCCACGAAACACCACTCCGAAAGGCTGATGAATGATTTCCCCATCTTCACACACATCTATGTTGAGCTTCCCCTTCAACAAGGACTTAGGAACTTTTTAAGTCTTGTTTATAGCCATAGCCAGCTCAATATCAGTGATTGTGAGGCAATCATAATAGTTATCAATGAACACCTTGATATGAGCAAAGACAATGAGAAAATCAACCTTGTTTTTCTCTAGCAGCTTTGTAACATCAACATTGCTTAAAATACTTCTCACAGTGACCAAATCATTTAATTTCATAAATGGGAAATCAACAATCGAAAAATCACAGACCACATTATTCGCTCTAACAACAACATAACGAAAATTCACTAATATGCTTTCGAATAAGTTTTCACGTGAAATTGACATCACTTTTATGATCTTAATAGATGACCACACCTCCTCTTCCCTTTTCTCCAAGACTGCATGAAATCTCATCTTCAGTATTTTGTATTCTTCTTTTTCATTGAATTTATCAACTAACTTTTATTGAGAAGATATGTACATCATATGATTTATTGGGAAATCAAGTTGGTTAAAATCAGATTTCTCAACCTCATAACTGTTCTTTGGAAATTTACAAAAATACCTAGGCTTCCGAATTTAGACGATTTCCTTAATAGTTTCGTAACACCAATGCTTGTTAGGATCACCCATGTTCAAGCCTGATGGATCATTTTGCCTTCTCCTTAATATAATATTGTCTTATCTCTGCCTTTTGATTTCCAAGGCTTGTTGTTTCTTTTTTTCTTCTTCTGAAGGAGTTACTAAAACACCTTTTCCTTTGTATCCTTGATTGTCTCTCGAAGTAGGTGGCATAGAGCATGCACCAGAACCCCCATCACTTTCACTTATAACAATACCTTTCGAAATAGGTCTTGTTGTGGTAGTTGTAGAAGTAGTTGTTAATGAAATTGAAAGTGAAGTAAGTATTTGAGTAGACATCACCTTCCCAACAACTGCTCCTTTATTTGTATCTTTCAAAGATCCAATGCCTCCACATCCTTTCTCTCCCCCTTGTGACACATGCTTCGCAGTAGGAGCATTAGTTGGTAAAAGAAGAATCAACTCAAGGATGGGAGCAAGCTCTGCTTTATGATTAGCCTCGATAGATGAAATCAAATGAGAAATTGATTCTTAGGAAAAAGAAGATTGATTCCAAAGAGCAACCTGTGAAATGGATTCCTTGATACTATTTAAGAACTCCAAATTTGCAAATATTTGGGAATCCTTTTCTGTCTTCTCATCAAGCTTTTTCGAATAAAAATTATTGTATTCAACCAGCTTTGCAATAGTATCAAAAATAACATCAACTTTTCCATGAATAACATAGTAACTTTTCTCTATCTTTTCAACCTCCTTGGCTATCTCCGATTTAAGTTCAACCATCTTGATATCAACAATCTCTTTCATATTCTTCACATGATCAACTAAAAGTTCATGACACTCTTTAGCAACATCACCAAGATTTTGAATCTGATATTCAAAATGATTGACATGAATTACCAATCTTTCAACTTGTTGTTTATAAATATTTTACACCAAACTCGTAAGATGATTCTCTTTAGAATTTAACATGTACTCCATTCCTACCCCATAAAGAAATTCAGACCCCTAGTATATGCTTGCATCTTGAAGTGTTTACCTAACATTAGCATGTTATCAGGAACATTATCTTCCTTCGGATCGAATTGCGGGTCAGCAAAATAAACGATGATATCATCTTCATTAGGTTCATCGTCTTGAACTATTTTCTATGCTTATGTGGATTACAAAGAGAAGATAGTAGTTATTGGCTCATTCATTATGGTGGAATAAGTTGGTGATATTATGGAAACAGGAAGTGAAGATGGGATATGAGAAGATAATGGTGGTAACGAAGTTGATGTGTCAAGAATTGAGGTTTCGATGGTGGATAAAAGTATGAGTAACATAGAAATAGTAGAAGTTTCAATATTGGAAGTACCAAAGGATTTGCTGTTCAACACCCCTTCACCCATGTTGACATTTATGCCTGTATCATATACTCTTACATTGATGTCTAAGGTTCAAACCTCCTCCATAATTTCTCAGGGATGGATGTAGATAGAGTATTAGTCGAATTGGTGATTGTATCCGTATTAGATATGTTTACATTTGCACCAGGATTTCCAGTCTCCTTGAAAATCAACTTAACTAGAGAATACCTTCGAGGTCACCCAAATCCAGAATCTTCAATGCGAATATTAAACCTTTCTCTTTCACTTTTATGATCTGTTTCTACAGTGACTTTGTCAAGCGGGTCTTCAAATTGTCTCTTCTTCTTATTTATCTTTTGAACCATCTCTATGGCTTGATGTTTCTTTGATACAAGTGAAACATGAACAATAATTTCTTGAATTAACACACCTCGACTATTAAGTTGCGGTTTACGAATCTTCTTGATACCCTTTGATGAAGAATGAGTATGCAAAGACTCACACTGAGGTTGTCTAGTGGTATTATCTTCAATCTTTGGAAGTGATGATTGATAGGAGAATGATGAAGTCTCTTTGCTGGCTTTTAGTGCATTTGAGAATGCCAATTTTCAAATGAATTACTTCTTTAGAGACTTCCTCCTCTGCATGTTCTTGAATAGGTTTTGATTCTTCAGTCTGCTTCTCTTTCTTTTGTGCTTTAATAACCTTCAACGAACCCTTAACCCCTTTTGGAAATAGAACTCCAACTGAAATAGTTGTATTAAAGGATGCCAAATACAGAACAAGAATAGGGTTTGGAAAATCAATTCGTTGTAACATTGCATCAGGAATGCGAGCAAAATTGGGAAAAAGAAATGGATTAAATACAACAATTTTTGGAGTCTGCAATGTAAAAAAAGTTAGATTTTTCATCTTCTGAGGGAACCAAAATCCCTTCCTGTTCATACACCTACTTGAGGATTAAACTCTAATAGCGTGTACAAGAAACACCATTCGAAACATTGGTGTGAGTAATTACTATGCCAAACTCCTCCCTAAGTTGAGTAACATAATCAACAATAAGATCATAATAAAGACTAGCAATCATCACATAAACCTCCAATTTCGCCTTATCTAACCATGAACTACGACCAGTCAAGCATTGTAGTATAATGCTGAAGAGAAAAATTCTAAACATAGGAAAGACTTGACTTGAGAAATAGACTAATCCCGGTAAGAACAAGTTGATGAACCGTCTCATTAAACATATGAAGAACCTATTCATTCATAACCTCATAAAAAGTACCTGAGTATGGTAGCCTCATAATCTGTGCAAAATGTTTCTTGGTGAGTTTTCGCAACTTATTGTTCATCAGTTGGAAAGTAACAACCATAGTTGTTTTGTGGAATACCATCGTAGAACCAGAAAGAGATAACCAGGTCATTGGAATAGAAAAAAATGATGATAACACAATTGAAAGAAAGGGGTGAATTAGGGCTAAAACCAGCATTTGCATCTACTTAGGATATTAATCAACAGTGGGAGGATCAACATTTGTAGTAGGATCCGTCATTGTTATGGTTGCAAAGGTTGTTTGAAGACGATAAACTTTGGAGAACTTCAGGGAAAATTTGATAAGAGAGCACAAAGTCTTCAAATAACATCACCAATTTCCTTTAATAGTCGAAAAATAATTTGAATTTGAACTGGTAACCAATCAGATACTACCACGTGGTGCATCAATTATGGGACCGACCACCACGTTAGAAAAAGTTATCATCACAATCCCCTCAAATCATGTGAGATACTGAACCGTCTCGTCCGCTAAACTTTTCATTGTTCCCAACTGGATAAGAACCACCACATTTGCGAATTGTGGAACAAGTATATTGAATGGTTTCGACATCAAGAGAACACTAGAACTTCTCTTTGAGGTTAGCTCACTCACTTTTGGGATTGTAAAGCAAAATCATATGCCAAACTTTGTGAAATCTAGGTATCGAATTGGTAGTACCCAAAACATCAAGGATTCCAGTGCAAATGTGTGACAAAGAATAAGTGGGATTAAAATTTACAAAAGTGTGCAATTAGTGATATCAAATAGCATTTGATACGAAATTAGTTTGATTCCAAACAAAGATTTCTTCATTCGACATCAAGAGAGATGACGAACTGCTTGCGTTGTTTTACATGAAGTACAATCGAATACTCATCAATGAGCATCGAAGAGCCTCTATTCTATTAGTTTCAAAGGTATGCTTACTTTTTCTCAATACCACAATTTAATATAAGTGTGAGTTGATTGAAAAAAATACTTGGATAACCAATGTATTCAAGAACAAGTAAGGTTGGATAAGTTTTGAAGTAACAAGAATCCAGAAAGATATTTAGATTGAAATCACATTCCAAAAAAAAATTAAGATCTGGATCTGGTTGAGTAAAAATGTCTTGTTTATAGAGCATTTTATCAAGATCACGCAATACAAAAGGAATATGATTTTGAATATCGAAAATGGTACTGAAACAAATGTTTCATTAGAATCTCGAACAATATGTTCACCATCAATGCCTTAGTAGTTGGGATTTTTGGATTTCACCATCATCATGGAAGAATGAATCAGGATCATAAACACAGATTGTGGCAATATCTACATTCTGGTTGGTTTTTACTAGAGATGTTGAGGATATGTAGTGATGTGTGTGATCATGAAGAAATTGTTGGTGAAAAAGATTGGCTAAAGAAACTCATTGAACCTCTACGAAAGATATGGATATAGCAGAAATCTCTTTACTCAATTTGAGAAGAGAAAGGTAACTCTTTGACTAATGTGAATATAGCCTGATTGGGAAGGAACACTCGTAATGAGAGAACCATTAAGGCTTCAAACACATAAAGTCTATGAGGGTTGAGGTAAACATACAACAACATGCTTCTAGGGATTTCTAACTTGGACATTAGTTCGAAATAATATATGTTCCCCTTTTTTAGTAAGATTGTTAAGCATTCTCCACCACAACGTGTTGTTACAATGAGCCACGAAAGGTTACACATGATATGAAATAAAAACAAGAAAATCTTTTTGGATTTGTAATTTTTGAAAAAATATATATATATAAAAACAATACGAAAATCTTTTTGAGTTTTTGTTTTTCAAAATTAAAGACAAAAAGAATAAATTATTTTAGGATTTTTGTTTTTTTTAAGTACACAAAAATGAACTAATAAAGTGGTACCAATGACGTTCGAAGTAAGAAGTAACAACTAGCAAAGATAATGTACAACGCACAACTCTATCTCCCACAAAGCAAATTGAGGTCAGAACGATTCAGAGGAATTTCTAAAGCGAACATATCCAAATGCTGAATCATAAACAGTATTCTATGAACTCTTCAGTAACATACCAACCAAATCAATATCTTTTTATTCAAGAAGAACCAGGAACAGAGCCTGCATCAATGATTTCTGCAATTTGTTCTGTCGTTTTCACAATATTAACCTCAATGTTCCCATCTTCGACATGATCTTTGATGAAGTGATAGTGAAGATCAATATGTTTGGTTTTCGAATGTTAGACTGGATTATGGAAGATGTGAATAGCACTTTGTGAGTCACAGTATAAACAAATATTTTTTATATTGATTGCATAGTCACGTAGTTGATTTTGAATACATATAATTTTAGAAGTGCAAGCTGCAGCAACCACATACTCTGCTTCTGCTGTAGAAATCGAAATGCATGTTGGTTTCTTTGATTTACAGCTTCCGAGCTTCTCGCCCAACAAGTGACATCCTCCTGTTGCGCATTTGCGATCGAGTTGACATCCACCTAGGTCTGCGTCTAAAAAAGATTGAACAAAAAATCATGTCTTTGAAGGATACCAAAGAGCCAATGAAACTGATCCTTTAAGATAGTGAATGATGTTCTTTATAACATTAAGATGAGGTTCTCTTAGGTTCGATTGGTACCTGGCATAGTTACACACAATAAACATGATATCAGGTCGACTTGTAGTAAAGTATAAAAGCGAACCTATCATGATTTGATATGTAGTTTAGTCCACTGTTGGCTTGTCCAATGAAGGATTCAAGTGTGTTCCAACTGCCATCGGTACTTTCAATTTTGTATTGTTCATTATCCCAAATCTTTCAAGTAGTTTGCATGGGTATTTTTCTTGATTTATGAAGATGACTTCCCTGCTTTGACAAATATGTAAACCCATAAAATTATTAATTTTTCCTATCATGATCATTTCGAACTTGCTTTTCATAAGCTCTTCAAATTCTTTCGAGAACAAAGGGTCAGTTGAACAAAAAAAATAATATCATCGACATAATTTGGACAAGCATCAAGTGATTCCCAACTTTCTTTCGAAATAATGTGGGATCAAACGATCCTTGTTTAAATTTAGAAACTTTCAAAAAATTAGTTAAGGTTGCATACCATGCATGAGGTTCTTGTTTTAACACATAAGCTGCCTTATCTAAAACGTAACAACAATCAAGATACTTATCATTAACGAAACCAGGTGGTTGTTTGACATAGACGTTCCCTCCAATAAACCATTCATGAAGTCACATTTGACATCCTATTAATATATGTTGAAATCCTTATGCGTTGCATAAGCCAGAAAAATTCTAACAGCCTCGAGTCTTGCGACAGGGGAAAAGGTTTCCACATAATCTAGTCCTTCTTGTTGAGAATAACCTTTAACAGCTAATCTTGCCATATTACGAATCACATTACCTTCTTTATCAGTCTTATTCTTAAAAATCCATTTTAACCCAATTAAAGAAACATCCTTTGGTCTAGGAATTAACATCCAAACTTTGTCTCGTTAAAATTATACCAGTTCAAATTTCATTACAACAACCCAATCTGAGTGTTGTAATGCAACCTTCACTGTTTGTGGTTCAAGTTTGGAGATAAACATATTAAACATATAGTATTTTTGGTGAACAGTAAGTACTTCATTCTTAGCTCGAAATTTTGCTCGCGCCATGACTCCAACATGTGGATCACCAAGAACTTATTTCTTTGAATGACTACGTGTCCATTTATCCATTGGTGGATATGTAGGATGAAAATCTAAAGGTGCATCCTCATATACATCATCTATTTCAGAACCTTCACCTTCATTCGAAAAATTATCAGCAACATCATGGAACTCATTAGCTTGATCATTTATATCATTAGGTTTCGACACATTTAGCTCATCGTCAAACAATGGATTCAAATTAAGATGCTCCCCATCGACATCATCATTGTTCTATTCATGCTTCCCCACAAATGGATATGTAGTTTGCTCATGCTCCCGTTCAATATTTGAATCATGAATATGCATATGTGATATCGAACTCAAGTGTTCCCCCTCCGCTTGATCTCCTTTCAAAACTGGTATGTGTTCGACATTCACTTGTGAAGTTGAGGTATATATAATGAGAATCGTCATTTTCCCTAGTAACGGTTGAATCATATGAGTGCTTTGATTCTTTATGAATATGATTGTCATCAATAAGGATTTCAACATCTATAGCTCTATCTGGAATACCAAAAATCAAATCATAGTCAACATCAAAAGAATTCATAATTTCTGAGTCATCATTAATTTTAGAAATGAATGGCTTTTGTACGAAGGACTGTTCGACTCATTTGAGATGACAGTCATCAAAATTAAGATTGATAGTTTCCAAAATATTTCTTGTTCATTTATTCAACATCCGATATGCAACAAAATTATGCGAATATCCTAGAAAAATTCTTTCATCAGTTTTTGACTGAAATTTAGAAAGATTATCCTTGAGATTCATTATAAAGCACCTGCATCCAAAAACATGAAAG